CCCCCTCCCAAATGTCTCACTTCAGCATTTTTTTGTTGTTATCAGGTTTTGAGCAATCTTCGAGTCTCAGTATGCTTGATGCAAGAAAGGAAGTGGCTAATACATCTATGAACAATAATCCTCCACCTTTCAGTGCAGAGAGAGAAAAGAAAGCTGAAGGCATTTTTTGTCCCAAGTTTTCCATTTTAATATCCTACTACTTCAGCCTTTTGATCTCTTTATTTGTTTTTCCAGGAGATGGGGTTGACTCTAGATGGATCTTGAATTCAGAAATTCCCATAGCAACTAGTGTCGTGCCAGAAGTAGAGTCGAGTCTTATATCAAAACAAAATAAAAGTGATCCAGGTAATTTACTGCTGTCATGATGCCGCCTTTGAAGTAACCTGCTTGGAGACCATTGCTGAAAGTACCTCTGTTCTTTTATATAGCTCGCATATTTTCTTGCTTCTATAATTTCATATCTTGTTTGTAAAGCAGTAATTCTTAATTCGGAGCATAGAGATTCTGCTGAGAACTGCAAGCTAACCTGTGGAAATGAAGTTGCTGATGTTGAGCTTGGTCTTCAACATCTCAAAGTGCTTGATGAAAATCCGGAAGTCTTTGATGATAAAAAAAAAATTTCTGCTCATAATGATCAAACTGAGATAACTATTTCATCATCAGGAGTTGAGGTGATTGATCGGTCATGTAATGGCAAGAGTGATCCTTCAGAACTTGATGAGAGTAACGCTACAGCATCTGAACATACTGAAATTTCAGCAGAAAATGATACACAAGGTCATCATACAGATAAGACAGGCAGTTTGCATCGCCGAAAGGCTCGTAAGGTGCGCTTGCTGACTGAGTTGCTGTATGAAAATGCAAATGTAAAGACTAATCACATTGGTACGGATGAGTCCCCATCCCATGGGACTTTAGAAAAATCTGAAGGGTTAAAAGAGCTTTCTGCTACCCAATGTCCAGTGGCTACCAGAAAGAATATCAGGTGTTTAGGTCAGAATTTGAAAAGTAAGCTGCCTCTGGATGAAGTTTGTCTTGCTGCAGAGACTTGTTCATACAACGTGGATACCAAGATTCAGGCATTGAAGAGAAATGTGGAAACAACAGATTCGTTTCATTCTAATGAATCTGAAAATGCATTAATTGGAACTGCATTACAACCTAAGAAGAGTCTCTTGAACAAGTGTAGGAATGACATTAAATCTATTAATGGTAAGAAGAAAAATAAAAAGATCCAACTTGATGCCTGCTCTTCTTTTAATCTTCCTCCAGGAAATGGTGACAATATGCCTGAGATTTCTTTCAAACGCAACGAATTTTCTGGCAGTGCAGTGGATCCCTTTCTTTTATTTGGTTCAAGAATTGAGCCAATTTCTAGTTTGTCTAAGAGGAAAAGCAAGATGCCTATAATTGATGACAGGCAGGGTTTTACTTGGAGCAATGGTATGCGAAGAAGAGATTTAACCTTAAAAGAAGTGGAAGTCAGGAACAATGAGCCTGTGGTTGTTTCTCGTCCATTAGTATCGGATGAATCTAGTAGAGGCTTGCATCTTTCCCTCACTAACTATTCAGGCACTGCAAGAAATGACAAAAAGTTTATTTTCGAGGCTCAGGATGGCTCACGTTCCTTGTTGTCTTGGCAAGGAAGTATATCCACAGAAAACGTTGTTAGGAACAAAGATGCTAAATCCAAGAAGCATAAAGGCTCAAATGTTCCTTTTAATTATTCAGATACTTTTTCTGAGCAAGGAGGGCATTATGGAGTCGATAGTAAGAAAACCTCGGGTAGAATGCAGTTCCCAAATGGGAAGCAAAACTCAAATTCTCAAGTTGATGACGATAGCTGGTCTCAGTTGCGGGCAATGGTATTAATTCTTCCATACTGTGTTGTTATTGTAGCCTATTGAAGAAACAGTTTTACAATGCATTCACAAAAGTACTCACGATATCTGAGGATTTCCACCTCCCCCGCCCCCCGTCTAAATTACCTACGTTCTGCATGGTTCATCTAATTGAAATAGCTTCATGACTAAAATGTTTCTTGGATTTCACTGGAATAATTCATTGATGCAAACATTTGATGTTTTGTATAATGCCTCAAGGACTTCAGCCTAATGAATTTATTGGTTAATATTTAGAGTTGTAAGTGTTGAGGTTATGGATCATATCTGGTTGAAACGTTTGAATTTTTCTCATTTTCTTAATGTTTTATTTACCATTCTCCTACAAGTTGGAACTGGAAAGTGGCAAACTATTACATTTCTTCCCCTCCTGCCCTTTTCCAAGAACGAAGTCTCTAAAGATTGGTCACTTTCTGTTTCACTCATTTCTGCTATAAGTTTCCACCACCATTCTCTCACCACTGCTCTATTATAGTATTTTCAGGGAACTTTAACTTTAAGTCACAAATGTGTCTGCTGCTTTATGGTAAAGCTTGCAGATTCCATTTCTCTATATTCCTCCTCATGCTCAATCCTAGGTTCTTATGTGTCTTGAAGATGAAAATCTTGTTCGTTTATGTTTCTTGGAACTGTGAACTTTATTTGCAACGACAAATTAAGAAAGATTGTAAGCTACCTGTCTTTTGTTGATTATGGAATCATGAATCTTTTAAGGTTCATTCATGTAAAGTCTACCATTATTTGGAGATTGTTTAGACTTTTCTTTTCCTTTATTTACTGTATATTTACTTACTCGTATTCCTTTTAATTCTTTCATTTCCTATCTCCTTAAGATTCCAGGTTTTGTTCCTTAGTTTCTATGGTTTTGTTTTGTAGGATAATTATGGGGTAAACAAAGCTGAAAAGAATATTACAGTTGAGGAGCACTTGGCAGCCCAGATGAAACAGAGTGAGCATACTGTTGGTAAGATATCTGAGCAAAGGGCTATAGATGACATTCCAATGGAAATTGTTGAGCTCATGGCTAAAAATCAGTATGAAAGGTGCCTTGGTAATACTGTAAATAGTAAATCCCTATCGAAGACAAGTTCAAAGAAAGCTCAAATTATGAATTTCAGTAATGCATGTGGCAAAAGTGGCTCATTGCAGGAGAAAAACAGTCACAAGTGGAAACCCCAGGTTAGGAATGGGAGAAATAACTTGCATACGGCAAGAGATAATGTGGGATACGTCAAGCAAAGTTCAGGTAGTTACTTTTCTCACACCGAGAGGGGGCATTTTAATATAGACCAGCTTCGTCAGACTCTTATCCCTCCAGAATATACCACATTTGGACATTCTCAAAATAAGTCATCAAGTACTGTCAAATTTTTGGCAAGCAGTACTGGTGAGACTGCACGTTCTCAATATAGCCAATATACTGGAGGTCTGGGAGATCAGAAGTCCTCTCATTCCAGATTGCAGTCGTTCAGTGGATATAACGCACATCAGCCTGTTTCACAAAACAATGTAGACGTAGCTCATCTATGGACAGAAGCCCTGCCAAATCACCATCCATACGTACCGAACACTCCTAAAAAGGTTGCTTCTCAGTCGACTATTGTAAATGCTAATACGAACTATCCTGAATCAAGTAGCAAAGGGACAATGAATCGAGAGCATAATCTAAAATTTTTTCATCCAAAAGTTACCAACCTTGAAAAAGATGATGGTAATTATGGCTTGGAAAATTCCAGGACCAGTGCGAAGCACCCATTTCCTTGCCATTCTAATGGCATTGAGCTTCCCCGGGGGTCATTGGATTTGTATTCTAATGAAACCATGTCAGCAATGCATTTACTTAGCCTTATGGATGCAGGAATGCAGCGCACTGAAACTCATGACAACCCAACATTTCCCAAGAGACCTTTTTCCCATGATCTAAAAGCTAAGGACACTTCTAGGATGGATATTGGTTTGCACAAGGCCTTTGATACAATAAATTGTTCATCTGATTATTATGGTGAAATCCACCCGTCAACAAAGTCTCACAATTGTTTCCCTCCTGCTTCAGTGGGCGGTGCATCAGTTTCTCCTTCCATAGGAAATGAAAGTTGTGAAATAGTTTCTGATTTAACAGATAAAGTTGCATTGCAGTGTAAACAGAAAGAGATTACTAAGTGCTCCACTTCAACATGGAACAGAGTTCCAAAATCACAGACGAGTGTATTTACAAGTGGTAGTCTAGGCACCAATGAAGGAATTTTTCCCATTCATAGCTTGCAAAGGAAATCTGGAGGGCCTTCTAGTTCTTTAGTGTCTATGTCTGGATACCACAGAGTGGAAAATCCTGGTCAGTGTATAATAGAGCGCCATGGTACTAAAAGAATGATGGAGCATTCGAAAGTCAGTTCTGAGTTTGGAATCTGCAGCATCAATAAAAATCCTGCTGAATTTAGCGTACCAGAAGCAGGAAATGTATACATGATAGGGGCTGAAGATCTACATTTTTCAAAAGAGATTTCTCCTAAAAAAATATCTAGCTTGAATAATATGGATGGACGCAAACGCAAGAGGAATGTGAAGCATACTGTTGTACAACCGCATGCATTACGCTATAGTATGTGAGATCATCGCCATGAACATCACGCTGGTAATATTCTCATGTCTCTTAGTTCTTGAAATGGTTCAAAATATATTTTAATCTATTATGCCATTGGCCATATATGCATATTTTGAAGCCATCTGATTGCATTTTCTTCATTTTTCAGCAGGATTTTAACTTTTAAATGGTTCCTCCTTTTCATTATTTGGGAACTTGAAATGTCTTCCGGTTAAAATAATGGTAGAAAATGTAGAAAATATCAGATATATGCGCTGCTGTTGCACCAAAGGATATATATATGGTTTGGGTAACTTCCCTTCATTATTTTCTCTCTTTCTGGCACTCTCCAACAAAGACTAGCTGCGAATGTGGCATCTTTGGTATAAGCTATTAGACCTGTACATAAAAAGTACATGAATCTTGGGATTCATCAGTACATTCATTGTATATCCAAATTTTGGTTTGATTGATGTTGTGCGTTGTTATACTTCACAAGGTTCTGTATATACACTGAGTTCCACTCTTTGGTTATCGGAAGAGGGTAAGTTATGTACTTCTATGCACTGATGCGGTAGCAGTGTGAGAAGGAATAACAGAGAATCAGCTTGATATTTCTCTTTAGAAGGTATTTACAAAATCCGAGGGCTCATTGTTAGATTGTTCGTGTTTGGAACTCTAATATTTGTATCTGATGTTGTGGGAGTGATCTTGAAATAAAAAAAAAAGAAAAAGAAGAAAAAAACTGCTTGTTCTCTTTATAGAAGATCCGTGGAAAACAGTGTTTGTTTATTGTCCATAGTTTCTCTCTTTTTTCCATGTTTTTTTGTTTTAATTCAATGCTTTAACTAGTTGAATTGTATTTCAAATCTTGTATCAGGCAACGTGAGATGCTGCCCGCCAAATTGTTCTCTTATTGAGTTCTTTCTGAAACTCATTTGAGTATCAAACGTTTCTTAGATTGATAGCGGTTTCAAATATCCAACTCATTTGATGCATCTTTTTGTCTATACATTAGCTTTGTGATTTGAAAGTGTGCTTGGGTTAACCACTAATCCTTAGTGTGAGCCGAACAGTTCAAGGTCCTTCAGGCTTCAACCTCATTCATCATGAGGCTGAGCTCCTATATCAAAATATTATGAATTTGATCTGCTTTGTCGGAATAAACTTCTTAATTGTAGTTTATAGTTTAAGGGCAAATTCAGCTTTCAAGATTTGAGGATTTGAAGTGGACGATGATACCCTGCCCCTACCAACATATAAATGCATGAGATGAGATGTTATCATAGTTATTACCATTCATAAGGGTCTTTCTAGTTTTCTTTTTATCGTCGAGATTGGGATGGTGTTCAATGTCCATACAAGATCGAAAAGAATGCTACGCATTCCAAGTGAGATGCCCAAGATAAAAGGAATGAGGGGAAGAATCTACAGGGAATCCATAATATCAAATTGTGAATCAAAAAGCGTGAAAAAGCATGACAATCCTTCTCAACTCGAGATGTTAGAAGGTGCAAAATAAATGAGTGTCAGAGCTACTATAATTGCTTCAGTGGTTCTTTCAAAACTTGTAATATTATTATGAACTTTTTATAAAAATTTAAAACACTCTTAAACAAAAAAGTTCATATGTGATATTAACTTGCAAGGAATAGTTACTAACATGATCCTCATATTAAGTTTAAGTTTTGACATAATGAGATTAAGAAAGTCAACTTTTTGACTTTTCTATCAAATTTAAGAATAATTTTAAAATATTTATGAAAGATAAAAGTAACAATATCTATATAAATAATATTTTTTAAAAAATCAGGTGAACAACTATATGTACTATTAACCTTATTTTTTTCTTCTAGAAGAGTTACAACTTACATTACAAATATGGAAGAAAATTCATATTTTAAAGAATGGAGTAAACGTCTTCCTCACATAATTTTTTTTCAAGTGTACAAGTTCAGAACTTAACAATGTACGAAGTTATTGAAGTTTCCATACTAGTTATGATTCAATACATTATTTATATTCGAGAGAATACTAAGTAATTGACGACTTTCAAACTTACATCCAATATTTTGAAAGATTAAAATTGCTCGAGAAAATATAGTCAATCTTTAGTATAATGTGAGATGGTAAATTTGAACCTAATCATATGGTTAATGATATATATTAATCCGTATGATTGTTAATGCACTTAGGAGTCCAAGTCAGGGTATTCTTTCACGGACAAGATTGAAGATATATAGAGGTCTGAATTGCTCGTTGCTCAATTAAACGATCATCAGCAAATAGGATAAAGTTTCGTCGTTCATTCCACCATCGATCTTATATATGTTACTACAGAACAAACGACGATCGACGATACCTTATTTTCCAGTCATGAGTATGATGATAATCGTCATAAATAAAAATTAATAACAAATCCAGATCTCTGCAAATAATCTAAGACAGACATTGGATTAGGAACGTATTATTTAGAAGCTTGATTTTATGATTAAGAAAGAACACTAATAAGACATGCATCAATGTTTCTTCTTCTGTTCTAAATATTGTCCAGAGGGTTTCTGCCATTCATAACCAACGGTATACTAAAAAGATTGTTACAAAAGCATGGTCTCTGAAAGATTTCTGGGTATGTGGTCGGTTTTAAGTACACAATTTAATTCACTTTTTGACTCGATTGCTTGCATGGCAGATAAGATAGTCCACGGGTATTCTAACTAAGAATTCTTGTGGTTCTAGAGAATCTAGCTACCGGAGAACCACAAACGGAGAGCTTTTCCTCCTTTTCTGCCCGCCTCTTTGGTCTTAAGAATGCTGGTTTTAAGAATGAGTGATTGCTCTTCTCTGACCCTTACTTCCCAACCGGATAGCGGACAGCTAATGCGTTCCACTTATTGAATAGGGTTCTATGGTTAGTCTGCGACCCTTGGATACCGAAGACGTCCATGGGGTGATCTCGTAGTTCCTATGGAATGGAGATGATAGGATCGGTGGATCGGTCAGGTTAGAATTTTTTGGTTGGATTGAATGTTTGAAAATCTGAAAATTTGATTTCTTTCCCGGGATTTGGATTTTTTTTTTTTTTTTTTGTGGGGTCAATCTAACAACTTAAAAATAGAGTTCATAACTCAATCAATCTATGTCAACCAGTTGAATTTTATGAAATTTTAATTATTAATATGATATATGGTATGAATAAATATATTTTAAAAAATCAACTAACGATTCAACTCGATCGTATTTAGGTTATTATAGTCACGAATTTTGGTCCAAAATCGTTCCAGAACCTAACCCAATTTGAAATGGGGTAAATACCCTTTTGAGGAATCCAAAATATAATGTGTTTGAACTCAAAATAAATTAAAAATTAAAAATTAAAAATAAAAGGAGAGGTGAATATATTATTTGGAACTTAATAAGCACAGAAGGAAAGGTGTTGATTTGAACAATTTAAAATAAAATATAATAAGGGATTACGTACGGTATTTAATCCAACGGAAAACCAACTGTATTTGTCATCTCCGATGGAATGATTAACACGTTGCAGTTCAACTCCGGCCAACCGCCGTCAGTGCGGGCTATTCTGCCCATCATCGTCGCCGGCACCGAACGCGCGTGTGCCCACTCCGCCGCCGCGTCTTCCATTTACGACAGCGATTCCATCCTCCACTGCAATGTGGCGGTTACCGATTTTGGTCGTCGGGTTCGAACCGGTTTCAGTGTTCAAATTCGCGATTAAACCGCGCGTCAATCTGGGAGTGCAGTCCAGATCGAGATTCGAGAGATGGGTTGGGAACCAATGATGGTTCGTGGAGTCGAAGAGCAGCGAGCCAGGAAGGGAGGGCAGGGGAATAAGCTTAAAACGGAGCAAGTCATCTATTAGAGAGGAAAAAGAAACATTCATGGTAAAAACTTGTCCCTAGTAGGCGAGTTAAAAATGTGAGACTAACATGGATACATAACCGATCGAAACAAACATCTACTAGTAGTAGACTTGGACGGTTACAATTTAACATTGACCACAGCTAGTTATATTGTTCATGTCCAAGCTCACTGCTAGCACATATTGTCTACTTTAGCTTGTCACGTATTCGCCATCGATTTCATGATTTGAAAATGTGTCTAGAGAGGTTCCTATACCCATAATCTCACAATCTGCACTCTTATAGGCCTAGCATCCTCATTAGCACATAGCTCAGTATCAAACTTTAGTATTATTTGTATCAGTTAGAGTCCACTGATAGTAAATATTATTCACTTTCTTTAGTTAAGTATCACTGTTGGCCTCGTCATTTTAAAAGGTGTTTATTAGAGAAAGATTTCCACACCCATTTGACCCAGCACTTCATTCTCATTCCCAATAACAGAAACCGAACCAAATCGAACGGATGGTAGCGAGTTTAGATCGGATAGGTCTAGCCTGTCTCCATGGATCGTTCATGGCTCTCATTCTCCTCCACTTTTAAGAAACTTTACTCACTCTCAGTAATAATGATCCTCGTGCTTCACCTGCTCACTCTGCCTTGTGCTACCATCATCGCCCTTGGCCTTTCCCAAATGCTGCCCCTATACCAAATTCTGTTCCTACATTCAATTACTTTGTTAGGATATTATTATAAAACCAATTTTTACGTCGTTTCTGCATCTTTATAAGGTATTGTCAGCTTCCATTTCCATTTGTTATGTATCACTTTCAACATCACGATTTTAGAACAGGTTTCTACAAAACAGGTATCTACTTCGTTTCAAAACAAGTTTCTACGCCCTTATAAAGTATTATCTGCTTTGGTCCATTACGTATTGTTGTCAACTCACTGTTTTAATACAATTTTCTACACTTTTATAAAACTTCATTAGATCTCTCAGGGATCTAGTGTTCTCACTAACACACCACTTGGTGTATGATATCGGGCTCTAATACCATTTATCACGACTCAAACCCATACCAAATATGATCTTTTTTGAGATTTCCCTTTCGAACTTCTCCTTACCGTTTTAAATCGCGTCCATTAGAGAGAGATTTTCACACCCTTACAAGAAACGTTTCATTCTACTCTTCAACCATAGGATCTCATAATTACTATTTTACCCTCCAGTCACAACCTTTTTACAAATAAATAAATTAGAGTTCGAACATGAGTTAAGACAACAGTAAAGACAAGGCAGAATAACTTTTTAGCTGAAGTTAATAAATTTTTTAATTCTTTTTTCTTTTTTTTTTTATCGAAACATCGAAACATATCTTTAAAAAAATAAAAACTTTATTCATAAATAAATTTGAATTATTCTTCTACTCAAAGAAACAAAAAAAAAAAGGGGAAGATATTGGTGTGTGTTGATGACAATTACAAATGTTGCAGTCATGCTTGTGCTTGGCTCCACCTTAATAAATAGTAATACAAAAAAGCAATGAATTGGAGTGGCACCGCATTCAAATAGATTAAGGGGGGAAAACAGGTTAGATTCGATAATAACACTAATGCTTGTTGTTGAGTGCCTGAGATTCAGGAGGCACTAGGGATAGTGCCACTATATATATATGTGCCGCTTTCATGATTATCCATTACAGCACCAATTATGAAAGTTGCAAAGTGAAAAGATGGCGTCTCCCATGGTGGGTCTCATGTTTGTGCTTTCTCTTTACCACTTACTCTCATTTTTTATTACACACAGACGTCATCCTTGGGATTATCCTTCTGATTATCATAATTATCGATTCCCCGTGCCTCTCAAACAAATTAAAAGGTATGGCACACCAATCCACTACCCTTTTCACCATTTTTAAATGTCGCACAGTTTAAAAGCTTCGTTAAAGTAGTATATTGTGTTGGTGTGTATGGTATAAATGTGGATCTGTCAATCATCAGATGTTTATCTGCAGTAAAAGATTATGCCCTATAAGAAAAAGATATGGGATTTTCTTTTTCTAGGCTAGGTCTGGCGCTTTTTTGCTTATGCAGGCTAACTGTTCGACAAAAGTCCTTAGACCCTTTACTTTGTTTTTTGAGTGGATAATAGAATGGTTAATTGTGAAGAAAAGTTTACAATAAAGAAACGATGGGGATAAAGGGAAAAATATTAGGAATCACGACTATGATATTATCCACTACTTTGAGTATAAGCTCTCGTAACTTTGTTTTGATTTTCTCCAAAATGCCTCATTCCAATGGAGACGTATTCTTTTATTTATATATCCATGATCATTTTTAAATTAGGTGGGACTCCTAATCATCTTGAAAACCTTTTTAGCAAAATAAGGTAGACATTCTTTTTACTGCTCTCTTAGCTCTGTTTTGAAATTCAAAGGAAGCAGATACCCATGTACAATATTTCTTGCTTTACATTGTGATAAAGTCGATGAAAGATAAATGAGTAACCATGGCAATCATGAAGATGGCTTATGGACGATGTCAGTTTAAATGGAAAACAAAAAGCAGCAAAAACAAATGCACTATCGACCTTGAAATGGGGCCATTTTTTAGTATGTAAATAGAATTCGTGTCCTCTTTCTGGCTTTCATTTTCCTCAATAAAGTGAGAGAATCTTGAAACTCGGGTCCAAAACGTGACTTCCCATTTCATTTTTCTCTGTTAAATACCCCAAATGAGCTCTGCTCTGAAGACTGAACGAATAAGTCATGCTCGTCTCTCTCAACTCAGATAAGGAAAGTAAGGCCATGCATAGTCACTTCTCTTGACATTACTCTAATCATTATTTTGGCCAACCTAAACCAGTGATTACTTGTTTGATGTGTTTGTTGAATTGGTTTCAGTGAGTTCATGTTTCGTTAAGTGTTCATCAACTCGGCTGGAGAACATTGATGAAAATGGCCCTGCAAGTTGGTTACCGGGTTCATGTGTTCTACCTGAAACTCCAATTGAGTCCATGGAGTTTCTTGGCAGATCCTGGAGCCTTTCGGCTAAAGAGCTCTCCAAAGCTCTTTCCACTGCCAATGCTCCAAGTCATGTTCAAAATTCAGTGGTTGGGTTTCTTAGTGCTGAAGCACATGATTCAAACTCCACAGTCTTGAGGGAACCAGTGAGATACCGCTTTCAATTCCCTTTTTAAGTCATGTATTTTCTGTTTATAAACTGGCCATGTTCTTAATGTTACAGCTACGTCCACACTTACCCAGTGGAGATAGTCCTCCTGCTTCCCCAAGAGGAAGTGACGAAATGAAGGTATTTTATTTTGAATATCTCTGCAGCCCACATTCGAGCGCTCGCGAGCACACACACACACCAGAGGAAAGATAAATTATGTAAACTTGATATTTTTTGGTATGGAATCTCCCTCAAATTCAGTGAATTGCACATTTTTATTTTGATCAGGATCTAGTATTACTTCACCAAGCATTGAATCCAGAGTTCCTTTCCAATCAGCATCTACTTGGAAATGGGGCATGTCGCATTCTTCCTTCAACACACACACACACATACATGGGAGAAAAGAAGCAAAGTCTATCATATTCATCAATTTTTTTCTCTCTGTTGCAGCTATATAAGAGCATATTGAGAGGCAACAAAACATTGGGGAGGTGGATGAAGGATCAAAAAGAGAGGAAGAAGCAGGAAATCAGAACACAGAATGCTCAATTACATGCAGCTGTATCTGTGGCAGGTGTTGCTGCTTCAGTAGCAGCATTTATTGCAACGCTCGTGCCGCAAGAAACATCATCAGGTAATCAGAAATGGCCATCAAAGACATCAGCAGCAATTGCTTCTGCAGCTGCTTTAGTTGCATCTCATTGCATAGAGATGGCAGAGGAAATGGGAGCTTGCCATGAACATATCTTGAATGTAGTTAACTCTGCAATCAATGCTAGAACTAATGGAGATATCATGACCCTAACAGCAGGAGCAGCTACAGGTGCTAAGAAAACTTCATAAGCAACTAACATTCAGAACTGATGAACCAAGATACAAAATACTTACAGGGTTTGCTTACTTGTGCAGCGTTAAGAGGAGCTGCAACCCTCAGGTCAAGGCTTGAGAAAGGGTTGGGAGGCACAAACTTTGGGGCGGGAGAGGATAAGGTCGAAGAAGAAGGGAAAGAATCAAACATCTTGGTAGCAATTAACTTTGTTTCCAGAGGAGGAGAGCTTCTCAAACGCACAAGGAAAGGTATTGGTTACAACCATAATGTTACACATTGTCAAATTCTAATGTTGCTTTCACTGAGATTCGAAACATGGTGGTGGCAGGTGTTCTCCACTGGAAGCAAGTTTCTTTCAGCATAAATTCTGATTGGCAGGTAAGACGAGAAATGGTTGAAAAAGTTACTTGAAATTGTGATTGATATTACAATGCAGCACGTTTCTTTACACTCTGTTAACCTTCTGTTCATCAAAATTCTTGGAAATAAGTACTCAGAAGTAGAATGTGTTTATATACAGGTCGTGGCAAAATTGAAAAGCAGGCACATAGCAGGAACATTTACCAAAAATAAAAAGTGTAAGACAACGTTCCATACACACAACAAACCATCTCTGCATCTATATTGATGAACTATGTTCTGTTTCAGGTGTGATCTCAGGTGTGAACTGTGATGTCGCAGCATGGCCTGAGCGGGAAACGGAATCGGATGGCAACGAGCAGAGGGCTTACTTTGGAATAGTAACAACAGATAGAACAATAGAGTTTGAATGCAATGGAAAAGGAGAAAAACAGATGTGGATTGAGGGGATACAATATATGATGAACTTTCGTGCCTACATGAAATGATTCTGACCCTAAAAGATTGAAGGAATGTCATGAAGCTGCTTTCTATAGTTTGTTGTGTTCTTCTGTTGGAGACTGTTACCCAAGAATCTATCAAAGATTTGAGATCCTCTTGTAGTTTCAAGTTCTTGACAAACAATGAATTGGGGCCTTTCAATTACCATTTTTCATCTACTGAAATGAAGGATTATATTGTTCTAATAGTTAGAAGCTTGAAGCTTCTTCTCAACCCAAGAAGGAGACAAGACTGGACTCATCTCATAAAGCTTGTTCATCTTCAAATCCCCACCATTGTTCTCTTCTTCAGCCAACATTACCTTCACTCTCCAGACCTTAAACGACTGATCCAAACTCCCACTATAAACCAAGAAACTCATATCCATGTTCTCCATTTCCAAGCTCCCAGCCAGGCACCTGACCGGCCCTCTATGCCCATCAAGCACCGCCAAGCACTCATGGTAACAACCCCCCTCCTCCTTCCTCCATATCCTCACCGTCGTATCCTCCGACCCACTCAACACCAGCCTCTCCACCACCGCCAAACACAGCACCCCAAATCGATGCCCTTGCAAGAACCCACCATGGTTATATCTGTAAGAAACCCTCTCCTTTTCCCAAAAGTTGATTGTCCCATCAGAGGAACCAGAGTAGAGGAACGTCTCGCCGTCAGAATGGGAGCTGAGAACGACAGCATTCACAGGGGAAGTTTGGAACTTGAGTGTCATTGTGAGTGTGTGGGAGTTCTCCCGGTATAGACATCGCCAGATTTTGACAGTTCCATCAGAGGAACAGGTGAAGAGACAACCATCATTTTGGTTGACTGTTATGGAGTTGACTTTGTCCTCATGGGCGAGGAAGGAGTCAACGCATTTTCGGTCGGAGATCCGCCAGGCTTTGACGGTTTTGTCGTGGGAGGCGGTGTAGAGAAGGTCCTGCGCGTGGTAATAAGCCATGCAGGATATGGTGTCTTTGTGGAGATGGGTTGTCTCTGTTTTGGAGAATAACAGGAAAGAGGTTCTTTTGGGGAGTGAACATAGCTTCTTGGATGTCAGGTTATGTGAAGCTGTGAAATTCCATACTCTGATTCTTGAATCTCTGTGTGATGTGAACAACATGTTTCCTGTTATACACGTGAATTCAACTCACTTTTGGTCCATGAAATTAATAAATGAGAAGCTACTAATGGCATGCTTGAAAGGAAATATACCATAGGCAGCAATGGCCCAGACGCCGCCAGCAGCAGCCTTGAGGTACCCAGGGTCCATGCAATCGGGCTGCTTCCATGCACGAACACGGCAGCTATCAGAGCCAGTGAACACCACGCCATTCGAAATAGCGATCGAGTATATGTTCCCTTCTCCACGATGAAGCGACGCTATGCAGTGATGAAGCAAAAGTGGCGAAGGGGTCCGTAAAGGAGACAGCATCCAAGGCGATTCAGGGCTGGGCGGAGGGGTCGGCTTCATCGCTTTTGAACCCGGCTGCTCGCCCATTACTCGTTCTCTTTGTGGCATCCTCGTTTGCTTTTCATCGTCCATCATTATGCTGAGTAAGGAGTTGTTAGCATGGAAGGCCATGGCGTTGGCGTTGGCGTGCATGGAAATGGGACAGAGAATAATGGGCGGAGCAGGAAGGAGCGTCATGTGTATTTAAGAAACAGTTGATGCGAGTAGTGCGAGGCTGTCGCGAGCTGTGGCTAATGCTCGGCAAACAAGGAGTTGATTAATAAATTTTGGTAATTAATGTCACACTTAATGTGGCTCATTGAGTGTATATAACTAACAAGAACATTATATAATATATATTTTTATATTTATAATTGGGGGATTTTTGTTTTCTTTAAATGGGTTTGGTTTGAATCATAAAATGTATTGAATTATGTGCTTTTTTGGTAGTTTATGGCTCATTATTGCTGTTCAATCTTTTTTTTCATGCCCCTTTCTTTTGAATTAACTATCTTATATCTTTTTTAACCCGAGTTTAAAAAGCATTTTATTATGTAATTATTGAACAGGTTTTTTTTTATCTTTATTATTGTTGATGCACGTGTGACCATTAATTTATAATAAATTAGCCTAATACTATAGGAAGTAGGGATGCTCATGGCAGGAGATCATTCTCCCCCCGAGTTGATGAGGGGAAAGAGCAAAGCAACTCCATCGAGAGGGAGACTCTTCATTCTCCTATTATTCTAATTTTTAGCTCTGTTAAATAATATTTAGTAATAAATTATAGTTTATCCTATATATATCTGACAAATATTTAAATATTTGTCTTATTACCATATGTATCTTTCCATTTATTGTTATTTCCGTATCCTTATAATTTATTTGATTATAAATAAGTTTCATATCCTTGTAATTTATTTGATTATAAATAAGATAACTTTCACACTATAAATCTAATAATAATATAATTTCGATTAAAAAAAAACAAAAATTAATAAATCTAATAAAATTTTATAAGAAAAATATATATTATAATGTTTAATATAATTTCTATAAACTCAAATTTTAATATTACAACATAGTTTTTCATCCTCGATATAACAAGTGAGGCAGGGAAGAGAGAAGGGAATTTGGACAGCATTAAAGATAGGGATGAAGCTATTTACTTAATGCAGAAAAATCTCTCCCCATTTCCTATCTCATTTTCGACCTTGTTTTAGGGTAGGTCCTTATAGTAATCCAGTGGTCTGAGCAATAACATCAATGACTGTCCTCTCATTCATAAATACTATAATAATTTAAATGAGAATTTTGTTAAGGCAAGGAAAGAGGACATTGCTCTACTGTCTACTACTTTTTAATCTCCTCTCTTTCCCCCACGACCCTTTGTTCCATTGCCTTCAACTCCATCCATCCATCCCAACCTTAAATTACGCTAAAAATCAAATATAATGTTCTTTTTCTTTGAACCCGAAGTATATGATAAAAAAAAAATGGATATTAAACTAAGGGGTTGCTTTGCTATTATGTTTGATTATGATATCTAATTATGCTCGAACTGACACGATCACATAAGTTGCTACAGGCACCTAAACAACTAAAATAGGGACTAAACTAACACGATCCTAATCTATCTAGTTATGCTCGAACTGAGGTAATCACATAAATTACTAGTTCCACCTAAACAATAGAAATAGGGACCATAACCAAGATGGTTACCGTTTATCTGAATAGAAACTTATTGCCCAATACATTATTTGTTGAATGAGATTGGCATGAAAGCACCATGGAATCCATAGGGAACTCTGTGTGGCAGTGTGATTTTGGCTACTGGCTCGTCGCTGAACCTTTTTGCATCAACTATATATACCTGATATGGACAGAAAAAAAAACCCATATAAAAGAGAGAGATTAAGAACTTGATTAAGCAATAAAATTAATGAGTTAGCTGTTAAGAAGTGGAATTAACCTGAGACGTTTTGGTGATCTCATTATGAACATGGGCGATAATCCAACCATCATCTTCTTGGAGACTATCTTCTCTGGGCACAAAGGAAGCTCCGGTGCAAAAGGAGTTGTTCTCAAGCATATGGTACTCCACTTTTATTGGCTCTTCTTCTGAATCTTTTAGCTGTAATGGACCCTTCATGGAGTTAAAAGATGTACACAAACTATGCAGGATGGTGAGTTTTTCGTAATTGGGAGTTGGAATTACCAATGAAACTTCACCGCTTTGAGGCTCTTCAAAATGTAGCTTCGCCAGGCCTCCAAATTTAAATATCCCTAAATCAAACAACATTATTACACCAAACCAAACCAACTACCAAGTTTAGTAATGATGTACGGGATAGTTTCAAAGTTTATGAGACAATTTAAGACCAAATAGATAGTAGGGCCACGAATTTCCACAATAGTATGATATTATCAAGTTTGAGCATAAGCTCTAATGACTTTGATTTATGGGAACCTGCAATGCCTCATACCAATGAAGACAGTGTTTTTATTTATATACTCATGATTTTTCTTTTATTTAGACAAGGTACGACTCCAACAATCCTCTCTTCGAACAAAATAGTCATCTATTCATTCCAGCACTATCCAAGTCAACTTCTTTGGAGTACACTGTCAATCCAATAGAGCTCTATCACGGTTCTTCATTATGACTACAACTTCGATACTCACAGCTTTTTTTGTTCGACACTCAAGAATTCTATTGACATGACTAAGTTAAACACCTGACTTCTATACCACTTGTTAGGGACAATAGACCTCCGCAGCGCTATAATATCGTTTACTTTTATAGTAAACTCTTACCAATGAAGGTAGTATCCCTCGTTATTTTTCCCTTACTTCGTCAAAACTTACACACCCATCATCTAAGTCTAGTCTCTTGAGTGGCTACTAAGCATTGAAATTTGTTGATAAATAGTACCTGAGTTAGAGCTAGCGACAGAGTCAAGAACCTGAGCGTATCCATATTTGTTTTTCAAACCAGTGAAGGCTGAGTTTATGAAGGGAAAATCCATGGAAAATTGATTTCCAGTTAGAAATCTCTCTCGAGCCTCCCCTGTTTTGAGGTTGAGCCTCCATTCGTAAGCACAAGACAACAACGACCCATCTTCAGTGTTCTGTTCATCAGTTACATGAACTGGTTTGAATCTTTGAGAGAACCACTCAAATTTGTTGAGCCCCTTTTCAGGTCCAGGTATAATTGAATCAGTAGCTCTACATCCCCACACCACAACCTAATAATATTGTTCTTCAGCAACTCAAATCAGTAATATTGAACTTTTTCTGAGTTTGGTAATATGATTAACCTCATTTTGGTGTTCAAAGCAGTTGAATAGATGCATAGTGCAATTAGGTTTCACTTCAAACCATTGAATCGAATCGGCGTCTCCATAACGAGGCATCACTCCGATTTTGGCGTACCCTTCTTTCTCGAATTTTATCAATCTACAACACAACGATTGTTTGAATTTCAGAATTCGGAACCTAATTTGCGCTTAAAAACAGAGACGAATTGGATTCAGAGGAAGAAAAACGTACGATCCGCCTCTGATTAATCGGTTCAAGTCGATGGTAACGGGGTAATCCAATATCACATTGAACCTGAATTCCGATTTCATAACACAATAAAACACTCTGTTTATGAGGAAATTAAAAGGCAAAGCAGGTGAGTTTACCTCCGTGTAACGCCGATCTCGTGGGTGAGGCTACTTCTACTCAGCTTGACGTCCACTTTATGAACCATTCGCTTGCCGTCTTCTGCGATTACATAAACAAAAACAAGAGTTTAGTGAGTAGAAATTGAGAAATTGTTTGCGGAAGAACGTCGTAGTGAAACTAAAATTGACCGGAAATAATTCCAATTTCCATGTAGGGTTTGGTTGGAGCGATGCCCATGATGACCAGTTCGCCGGTGTCCGGAGCTTTCTGCGATGGGGAGAGAAGAAGAATGTTATGAGAACCCACTCAAATTGGGCGGGAAATTCCCATTTAAGTGAGAAATATTAACAAATCAAGGCAATGAGAGGGATTACATTCTCATTCGCATCTCCGACCCTGACCCCGATCCCGACCTAAAAGAAATGAAAGATAAAACGAGAAGAAATTTCTTCTCGACAGGTATTACATTCCCATCCATGTCTTTGACCTCGTTCTACTCCTTGCCCCACCCAATTTTTATATTTAGACGTCAGGTACCGTTGACGACTTTTTGTTCGTGTCTTAGGGGCAATTCTGAAAAGCTATTTTTCTCTACAATATCCTAATATTCCTTTACGAAACAATACTAGGACTTGAATTTGGAAGGAAAAGAGCCCGAAGTACTGTATGTATGGGCTTAAAACTGAAATCATAATTCGAAAACCCTAATTAGGCTATTTGAAGCACAAACGCGAAAAAACTGAGCCATAATCGATTTTTTTTCGCTATTGTTGTGAGGAATGTTCAACTTCGATAATTCCAACACGTACGATCAGCAACCATACCCAAAAATGGGTTTGGTCATGGCCAATTTTCGTTCGATTGATCCACTCACGTGTCATCAACATCTTTTCGTGTCATGGCCATCTGTTCTCGAAGAATGTCCACCCTATTCACACAACATAGATGAGGCAAATTTCACTGTCCCGTCTCGTAGACATGAGTAAAGAGATTTGAAGACGAACCTTAGGGTGACTAGTAAAGGGTCGATTCCAAGCACGACAAACATCCCAAACTCCCAAGCTTTGCAAGCTCATAATATCAATCTGTTGGGGCATAGAGTTTTCAGCAACGGAGTAAAACTTGCCAGAGTGCTCAATCACGTTGGTGTTGCTCATGTCTTTGTTCACTTCACCAAACCTAAGCTGTCAAGTTAATAGCCACTTGGTCAATGTCTTAGTTATTGTGGACATGAAAGGCCTAAAGTGAAGTGAAAATGGGCAGACCCAGTTGAGAAGGAAGGCAGCCACAATGGCCACAGCGTCGCCTTCCACTGCAGGAAGGAACGATGGCCTGTTTTTTACATGTTTTTCAAACCGGAATGATTCGGTTTGGACATATCTATTGTTGTACGACAGATGCCATTTGCCATCCATGTTCTTCTTGAAGTACATGGCGTGAAGCATTCCTTCCCCTTCCACCCATATGAAACTCGACCTTCCGAACATCGATCGGGTCGATTTTAGTCCCCCAAACAATGGATTCGGTCCTGTAGATACGTGTTTAAAATTTTTCAAAATACTCGATCAACCCAACCCAATCGAGACTATTTGGGTTAGGTTATGAGCTTATTTAAGTTCAAACAAAAAAAATGGTTTTGTTTGGTGCAGATCCTTCTGAAACTCGTATCCAGTTGAATCTAATTTTAAAAAAATATCGTTTTAGGTATAGAATTCTATATATATATATATAATAATAATAATAATTCATAAATATTGTTGGAGTATTTTCTGCCAACAAATTTTTAAAATAATATTTGACTTATACAAATTTTAATTAAATATTTAAAAAATAAATAAATAGATGTTTTACTATTTTCTTTTAATAAAAATAAAAATTTAAATAACTGTCATTTCTTTTAATAAAAATAACAAATTTAAATAAATAATGGTTAAAAATAAATAAATAGATATTTACTAATTAACTATTTTCTTTTAATAAAAATAAAATTTTAAATAAATGACTGTTAAAAATAAATAAATAGATATTTTATGAACTAACAATTTTCTTTTAATAAAAATAAAAAATTTAAATAAATGACAGTTAAAAATAAATAAATAGGTGTTTTATGAATTAACGTTAATAAAAATAAAAATTGAAATGAATGACGGTTAAAAATAAATAAATAGATGTTTTATAAACTTACCATTTTCTTTTAATAAGAATAAAAATTTAAATAAATGACTATTAAAAATAAATAAATATATGTATGTTTTTATGAACTAACTATTTTTTTTTTAATAAAAATAAAAATTTAAATTTAAATAGACCATCTTACTACCTTGAACCAAATTCAATTTAAAAAATTTATATTATTTAATAAAAAAATAAAATTCCAATATTTGGAAATCATAGGAATTAAAATTAAAGAAAAGGAAAATGATTATTTATAAAGTAAATTCTTTACCATTTCTTAGGAAGATTCCTTGGGGAAATTGTTGGGGGAGTGTGCCTTGGATATCGGTGACAGCAACAGGCGCTCCGATCTCTTCAACCGGCGCAAGGTTAGTCTGTTCATAATTGATATACACAACAATTAATTAACATAAACACTGTTGATGATGAACAACAAAATAATTAATTACCTGATTTGGGTGAAGGGTTTGATCCGAAAATTCAAACACCCAATCAACAAACCCATCCACCAATTTCATGCAACCATTTTTTAGCTTCTTAACAATGTCTACCCGGACATGTTGCTGTTGCTGTTTCAGTTTCTTCCCCGGAATCAATGGCTGCTCATAAACACCTTAATTTATAACAATTATATATATGTGTGTGTATGTATATGTGTATGTATATATATATATATATATACAGAGAGAGAGAGCACCATTGACGAAGAGAGATTGGATTTGCAGGGATGAATAGCGAGGGAAATGGAAGGGCTGCGAGTGATGGAAGAACCAGGAAACATCCACATCATGCCGGAACGTCCCATGTGGCTGTCTCGTTTTGCTTCTGCCGCCAATTTCGTTCCGCCTTCCACCGGTGTGTGTGTTGTTTATATACGACCAACCCACGGATTAGGATAAGATTTCAAGATTAAAATTTAAATAAGAAGGTTGGTTGTAACCACTTATATACGTAGATATTGTCTTTTTTGAGCTTCCACTCCTTTCAACTTTAACTACGAATTGCTAGTAGATATTGTCTTGTCTTTTTTTAACTTCCACTCCCTTCAACTTTAACTAGAGGAATTGCTCGTAGATATTGTCTTTTTTTTAACTTCTACTCCCTTCAACTTTAACTAGAGGAATTGCCCGTAGATATTGTCTTTTTTTTAACTTCCACTCCCTTCAACTTTAACTAGATGAATTGCTCGTAGATATTGTTTTTTTTTTAATTTCCACTCCTTTCAACTTTAACTAGAAGAATTGCCAGTAGATATTGTCTTTTTTTAATTTCCACTCCCTTCAACTTTAACTAGAGTAATTACAAAAGATGTTTCGCTCTCCTCCCCAACCAATTGGGATTCTCACATTTATAGATTAAAAATGTTTATATGATTGAATAACTCGAGCGGTAAAGGTTGGATTGGGATAGATTTTTTTCGTTTTAGTCGGGTTGAATTTTAGAAAACAAAAAATGAGTATATTTCCTATATTAACTTTTTTTTTGAAGTCAACCAAAAAATAGTATTACAATTCAACTTTATTTTTAAAATCATTACGAAAATTAAGAATGTTTAATGTTTGTTACTTAGGTTAGTTCCTGACAACCCAACTCAACACTCTATGAATTGGGTTAGGGTGAACCGAGTCAATCTAAAAGATTTTTCCAACTCAACACATGTACACACCTCCCGCATACTTTGAGATTTATATTTATTTAGGGCAGTTTTTTATTACATTTTTTAATAAAAAAAATAAAATATTGACAGGTTGGGGGTATATTTTATATATAGATTATGGACACTCATAAGCAAAACAATGTGAAAAAATTAAAAATAAAGCATTATAAGACAAAAGAAACACTTAGTAAAATAATTATAAATAATTATAAATAATTAAATATATATTTTTATAGTAAAAGTGGATGTGACAATATTAAACAAATGGGTTGGGACTTAGGATACCTCAGCTAAAGGGTACCAAATAAGCTTGATGAAGCAAATATGCCAATTTGGCCGTACCCGCGGTATAACACATCCTTCTCATCTAACTATATGGAATATGCTTTAATTTTATAATATCCATCATTATGATCGATTAAACAACGACGTAACTAAATCATGTTGAAATGACACTGTTTGTAGAATTGGGAGAAGTAAATAATGTGATCTATTTTTATTATTTGATATGTTTTATTAGACACCCATGAATCAAAAATTAAAGATACCGTCGTCATGTGTCACTATGCATGTAATATCACGAATTGACTAAGGTTTTTCATGTAAAGATGGTTGTGTGCAATCGTGAAATAATGAGTTTGTGGTCATAAAATTGGGTGAGAAGTGAGGTGTGAGATCCGATATCGGTTGGAGACGGAAAAGAAGAGGATAGGGGAGAGAAAAGAAAGCGTGAAATTGGGGCTTCCCAAGGAGGATAAGCGATAAATGAACGGTGGCATGAGATCATGACTGTGGGAAGAAGAAGCAAGAAAACAAATGAATTGAGACCCGAAAGGGACCCCTCTCCCCTACTCTACACGCCCTAGGCGAGGCAAGAAGCAGCAGCAGAAATACCCATCATTTAGAAATGATGCACCAAAACTGGCAGAGACCCTCAAATTTAGCACAACAATGTCCCAAACAGAGGAGCCTCCAACCCAATCCATCAGCCCCACCAGCAGCAAGCGCGTTCGAGATTCCAGCAAGCACCCACTCTACCGTGGCGTCCGAATGCGAGCTTGGGGCAAATGGGTGTCCGAAATCCGCGAGCCCCGTAAGAAATCCCGCATTTGGCTCGGCACCTTCCCCACACCCGAGATGGCCGCTAGAGCCCACGACGTCGCTGCTTTATCCATCAAAGGCAACAATTCCGCTATTCTCAACTTCCCTGAACTCGCCCACTCCCTCCCCCGCCCTGCCTCCTTCGCCCCTCGCGACATCCAAGCCGCTGCCGCTAAAGCCGCGCACATGGACCCTTCCCAATACTCTGCTTCCGCCGCCGACGACGATTCCGACGACCTCGCAGAGATCATCAAACTCCCCAATCTGGGCACCAACTACGACCACTCCATCGGCAATAACGAATTTGTCCTCATGGATTCAAGCGAGAGCTGCTGGGCTTATCCGCCGCCCTGGGTTCGAACCATGGAGGATACAGCGGAGGATGGTAATTTCTTGAGGGATTATTGAATTTAGGCTTAATTGTATAAATGGGTTTATCAAAATTGGTAATTAGATTGTTGTTGTGTTAAGTTTCTGTTTTTAATTAATGCATTTAACTTTCCGTGGTCCTTCCTTTATTGGTCATTAAATTTTAACCCTAATACAGATTTATGAAATTAATTACCACAAGGCTTCTGCATGGGAGAATATATATCTCCGTCACAGTCGCTCACTCAGAACCCAGAATTAGTGACGGTGACGGTGAATTTTTATTTACCATAAATCAGAGGTCAAAAACTGACTGATTTTACTGTCACTTGGCTTGGCTCTATATTTTTGCATTTTTTTTTTATTTTCAATAATACCTTTTATATATATATATATACATTTTTAGTAATAATAAAATAAGAAAACCCAGTTCCGTCCAAAATTGTTATTATTATTTATTAGTTAACATATTATTATTATTTATTTATTTATTTATTTATTTATTTATTTATTATTATTTTAAATTGTGTCTAGAATTGACTCGTCCACGCCACTAGCAGGCGGCACGTGCAATTCGTTTCAATTTGTAGGCATCCTCGCCGAGCAAAACCAAACCACTCGCATTCAAATTAATTTCATAAATTTGAGAAATTAAAATTTTAAAAGTACAATAATTGCAATAAATTCCGTAGTTTATAATTTCACATCGCTCTAAACAATACTTAAACCGATAATATGCACAGATAAAAGACGAGTATTTAGGACACCACTTCGTGCTTCATTTACTTTATTCAATTTTGGTTCTCAGTTTTTATGCCTCCACTCTCGAGTCTAATATTGCATGATGTGTTCTGTGTCTTGTGTCTTGTGTCGAGTCAATACTACATTTTCGAACCACATATGTCACCTTGCTTTAGGTCTTTGTCAATCCACATGGGGCAACCTCACTTAACTGACCACATGTATTCCGTCGTTTATGTATTCAATCATTATGTTGTTTTGATTTTATCTTATTCATCGTTGATTCACTTATTAATTTATTAATTGAAATAAATAATCACTATTTATTGATACGATTTGTCTTAGATTTAAAACTATACTATCAAATTTGACTGTCTAAATTAATTTTATATTTTGTTCGACCTAAAATTAAATTTATCAACAAATAATAATTTACAATAAGGGGTTAATTCCAATTTATAATCAACACAAATTAATAATTTATATTAAAAAAATAAAAATTATGCATTAAAAAATTTATTTAAAAGGAATACTCTTTTAAAAAAATAAATAGAGTATTGTTATATAAATGTATTTGTAAAATAAAATAAAAAATATTATATAAAAAAAGCTTAATTACATAATTATTGAAATTATAGAAATGTAGTTGGGGGTGATTGATGGCAATTATGAGTTGTTGTGGGGTGAATTGTGAAATTGACCAAAAGTTGAGGACCATTTCATGTGATATTAAGAGAGTTTAAGGACCATTTCTTGAAAAGCCTTTCCCATCACATTCATTGCACCTCCATTGCCTTTATCCTTCACAACAAATACTTCTTTTTTAAATCTTTAATTTCGAGTCTAAGTTTAATGTAACACGAGAAATTGATATTTTATTTTTGTTTTTAAATTAAAAAAAACAATAATGTCGTTATTTTGCTACTAATTTTTTAATTCATTGAACTATACCTCAGTATTGATTGAAACCATATATATATATATATGTGAGACGAGTATTGAATGGACAAACGTATAAGATGACAAAATTCTGGCGATTTATTGAGGTTGATGAGTTGACAAACATTAGATGTATTAAGATGTGTAGTATCGTCGTGTCGTCACTCATGAAGGGCTTGTCATATTCTCGAGCGCCACAAGATGAAGAAATAAAATTAATATGGAGGGTATTATAGTAATTTTACAATTTTTTTCTTTTGATGAGGAAAATAATCTCAAAAGAGCCACTCTAATTTATTTCAAATAACTTTTTTTAAAGCAATTTTAGTACATGTTTTTGGAATAAATGAATGGATATTAATTAAATAATGTAAATGTAATTATATTGACAATTCTACCCTTTGAATGTGAGGCCAATCCAATTGAATGTGATGGAGATGCATGCAAGAGCAACATCCTGGCCTCAACGTTTAACCACATGCATAATTGGCTACATTTTCAATTGTAGGGACCAAAGGGGAGGAAAATGTGAAAAAAAAAAATAAAAAAAAACACCTCAATTATTTGCATATTTGCTCGAAACCCCTCAATTATTTGCTATTTGCACAGATGGGTTTCATTCGTCTACTAAAAAATGGCATTGTCTCATCTCATTTTGACATCCTAACCGCTGCTAACACCAAGAAAGAGGGAAGAATATACATATGTTTCATGTCACATTCATACTTGTTTAGAGCGTGTTGTCTATAACTACATGCATGATATAACGGTTATGCTTATCAAAGACGTGTTGTTTGTAGTTGCATGTCAATTTCAAACCCTTTTTGACTTACTTTCATGTTAGCTAGTCCTTTATTATTACGTTATATTGGTGTATGACCGTTCATTAAAATAATGTTTACACCTACTATGACTAAGATGCCTTAGAATATACTATAAGGGAATACGACTAGTTGTCAATTTTTTATGTATGCACTATCAAAGTCATGATTGTTGCTTATTT